CCCCAAAACCCCAAAACCCCTTAAGTATGTAATTGCTGTTTATAATTAGAAGTAAAAATCTTTTAGTAAAGTAAATTTAGTTTTAATTTTGATTTGCTTACTTATTTTATTAATAAAGAGAGTGAAAATGCTTTATTATAATTCATTTCTAATTTTAATTCTTGTTTTTCTAAATAATCTTAGCAGTTACATTTGTTTTAATTATCTAGTCTTTTCCCAATAGCACATCTTTTCCTAATTTTTTGTAGCAGATCTGCAAATTTATTTTGATTTTTTTACCTTAAATAGATCTAATAATTTCAATGTTCTTCTTTTCAACATTAGATATAGCTTTCGCTACATTGAGCTATTAAATATTATCTCTTTGCTCACCAGCATAAGATTTCAATAGGTTTTAACTTTGTCCTGAGGACATAAAGCTAGTGTTGTTTATTCGATCATTGGCTATTTCTTGAAGCTGATTTTTATCATTAATTTGTCTAATTTATTCTAATATTTTAGCCTAAACAGTCTTTACAGCTAATTCTTTTTCATATTTTTCTTTCGAAATCTATAATTATCTGATACGTTCTTATTCTTTTTTCTTAATTAATTCCAGCAATTTTTACTCCTCTTTTGCAAGTTATTAATTTTATTTTTGTAATGCGCAGATAATTCTCTAGTTTTCTTCCTGTTATTACAAGTTTTATTAAAGCTATATAGCTTCTGAAGTTGCTTAACTAACGAAAATTGATTTTATTGATCTTCTTTTACAAAAGAATGAAGGCCTGGAATCTGAAGATCTAGTTGATTCTAAAACTTTATCAAAGAAATCAAACGATTATTTATCCTCAATAGTTGAAAATTCCAACTTCGATTCTTCAATCTCCTCATCACTTAATACAGATTTGTAATAAATTTCTTAGATACTACGATTGCTTTTTTCAATACCATTTTTAATAATAGTAGTAGTATTTTCTTGATTTTATTATCTTTTAATTTATTGTATTAAATTGTCGCATTTATCATACTCAGTTTCTGAGTGATCATCATACAAAACATACTTCTATGACTGATCACTTTAATCAGTCAAACCATTTGTGCTAAACTATGTCGATATTCTTCTCATCCTCATTTTTATTCTTTTTAATTTTTAATTATAAATCATGCTTCCACAACAAATTTTGAATCTTTATCTCAAGGGGTTTTGGGGTTTTGGGGGTACTGTTTTGCTTCTAATAGAGTGAGGTAATCTATGAAAACTGAGACTGAT